AATATTTTTAAATATCTTCAAATGACGTCAGTATGTAGCCTTAAAATTAAAGCTTTCAACATTTAGTTTATATGTTGTTCGAGTTACAACGTGCATGGGAGTATATTTAAGAAATCTACAATGAAGTAAGAATAAAATCTATGATTAGGTAAGAACAATGTTTTGGTTAGAATCATGTAGAGAACCGTACTAAACAATTGTAAATCAATATACATACAGAAAATAAATAAATAGTAGTTGTACAGAACAGGAAGTAAATATAGAAGAACACTTTATGCCTTTACCAACCAGGGCACTGAACTTCCTTTTCTAAAGAATCTTGCCACTGGTTGTGTAAATGACTGACAGACTCTAATCCCATTAAATAAAGGAAATGGACGACTCTATTTGGTTCCGGATTATCACTCCTTTTATTTATACACCATTTAATATTTAGATTCAGATAATTACCAGTATGACACAAGTAATGTTATGAAAATAAATACAAAACTCAGTGTCGATGCATCATTTTTAATTGAATTAACTGGTGTTTAGATGCTTGATTGAAAAATTTTGCTATTATGAATCTAAATAAAACAATATATTCTTTAATTATATATTTTCAAAATAACTAATAAAGATTATACATTGGCTTAAATTAAAAAAAAATGATAAGTCATATATAAATTTTCTTGTATTCATACACCCCCAGATCAATTTGTTCAAATCACATTTCTTTGGTTAACAACGAAACGCCTCAAAAGTTGCCGTTGTATTTGAGTCATTTTTATCAGCCTCTTCTCATACATTATTTAATATATATCTCGATTTCACATTGATTAAATGATTTCTGTGCTACTTCTTGTATCTCGAAATAAGGCAAGTTTCCATAATCTGAATTGTCCATTTCAAATATAACTGAAACTATCGTATTAAAATGTAGCTGCATTTCTATGGATAGATTTCGTTATAAACTACGTCTATTATTGGTTCTCTTTTTACTAAACCTGGTTATGAAATTTGACTGCTTAACTTTTCGTATAAGTTCTGCATGTACATTAAGGCAATTTCAGGTGAAAGAAAATCTCGAGCAGTAATCAATGATAATATTAACGGTACCAAATTATTGTAAAACATATCTTCTATAGGGGATAGAATGTTATATAACATGTTAAGCAATCGAATTATCAGTTGTTTAGAAAAATGTATTTATCTTCTAACCATTGAAAATAACAATACGACATTCGTTTAATACGATGGTAGTGAAACTTTTCAACTTAAGAGTTACGTAATATGATGAACTAGTTGCTTACAATAACCATGTTAACGTCATTTGGTCTCTTGTAGATAGTTGTCTCATTTGCGATCATACCACACCTCCTTATGTTCATTATGTGTGTAGCTTGAAATATTGGATAGTATATTGCTGAAGACATTTTGGTATCCCCTAGACGTATTTTAAGTATTATTAGTGTTCTCATTCAAATATAACCCACATCCACTTTTTTTCTTATCAATACATGTTGTGGCACAGCAACACATTTTATTCTGGTTAAGACGAATTTCCTATTCAAAATACTTTTCAGAATGTGAAAACTCTAAAGAAGACAGTATTTTGAAGTAGACTGTATCAAATAGTTTTGGACATATTCCACAAGTGATGAGTTTACACTTACAAAATACTCTTTTTAAAACATATATATTAACATACTTTGTCTATTTAAGAATCTAAATTGAAAATACCTTTTCCATATCTTCAATCAGAAGAGATTTGACTCTTTTAATATAAAGAGATGTGGTATGATTGCAAACCTGTACAGGTAACTGGGGTTTCTTCTCAAATTGACATTTCACCTTTTCTTTTAGAAAATTAATTTGAGAAACACCTTTTCAATGTAAAAAGGCAGGCATTGTGAAAGTATGAATTATATTAGAAGTTGATATTCATTTATTATTCACTTGCCAAAAAATACATGTAAAAAATAACTTAAATTGATATAATTATTTTAAAGGTATAACATCATAGTAGTACCATGAAAAAATTTTTACAAAAAAAAAGTTAGGAAGCTATATGTTCAACTAGTTTTATTATTTCATTTTATTTTGGAATTTTCTTGTCATAATCACAGTTATTAAATTTGACAAACACATATATTTTACCTGAGACACTTTACCTGTAAGTTATATAATTTTAACACTTCAATTCAGTCATGATTTCCCTTTATCCTTGACTAGTTTTTTATCAATACCTTGTGTATTAATAAAGCAACAGGAGGTTTAATGATGGACATTTAGGGCCATCATGGTAACCATATTTTTATGGCCACCATTAATAAGATAATGTCACAGGTAGTACCGTATCCATGAAATACCAAGGCCAAGGATTTGAACAACTACGGTTTATCATAGGGCCCTATGCAATGAGCGAAACTCATACCCTAAGTAAGCCATTAGGTACGGAAAAAATAAACGAACTGTCCGATATTATTGTTTTGGCTTAGAATAGGTCTCATCACGAGTGAGAATTGGATATTGTTCGATATCAACTAAAATTATTCAATTTGATTATAAAGATAAACATTCCTATGGGTCTATTTCAAATTCTCACATGTTGTTAAACCGATTTCCTTTACGGTGAACATTCACTTTGTGTTGAATAGAAAATTCCGCGTTTCATTGATCTAGTCTTCAGCACGTACCAGTATTACGTCATATGTCCTGTTACGGTCTCAAACTTTAATATTAGACATTTTGAAACATTTAGTACGCTTCAGAATGTAATAATATTTTACAGAATTTAGATTTTCATATTAAGAAAAGTGTGTGTGTTTTGAATATTTTCAATGAAAATCTCATATCCCCGTTCCCATGGTCTAAATATATAGCTGTTGTCCTCTGAAAGACATCAATGACCTAACAAATACCGATGAAAACGTCGCATTTTTGTTTTATGATGCTTTATAAGCTAATCAAAATAACGCATTTATCGTATCTGTGCAGTGTGATACGAAAAATATATCATAAGATGCCTTTTTGGCCAAAATGTGATTCGGCGGCGCTCAGTAGTCCTACGCGCAAAATTGTTGGGTGTAAATAATGGTTTCAATATATGAATGGGACTTGATGAAAAATTGGATTTCATTTTTCATATAATTTTACACTTTATTTTTGCCGTTTAAAGCATTTCTTGGGATCACACTTTTTTGAAAATAATTAGCTGAATATCTGATATAAGCCTTTACCTTTCATGTTGTGTGGCATAAAGTTAAAGCACCCAAGAATGTCATAAATGCAACTTTACAGCATTGAATGCCAGAACCAACGACAAACAATGGCCGCCATTTTGTGTTGACAACGTCGTCTAGTGAACCGTATCACTGAGCACCGAAATCCTTACTCAGACGCTTCCGGGTGTCCTACTGAGATAACAGCGAACAACTATAAAAGAATAAGACGTTATTTGGGAAATTTAGATGGATCATAACATTTTTTTATTATTCTTGTATTTTATTTGCAATATAATGAGATAGATTTGTTTCAGATAGAAGCAATGGCTAGTTCAAATCCATTTACAGACTTGTTAATGAAATACACGACAGACTATACTGCTGCATCCAAAAGTGATCTTCATAAGGCAGCTGTTGATGGGGATGTAGAATGTGTTGTGATATTGTTGAAGGGCAGTGATGTACAAATCGACCTGGAAGATGATAGAGGAAATACTCCGCTTTACATGGCGGTACAAAATAATCATTTGCAAGTGGTGAAAACCTTGATACAACACGGTGCATGTGTAAACCCAAATAAATGTGTTCCCTTAAACATAGCACGAGATTTTGAAATAGCTAAAATACTAGTTGATTCTGGGTCATCTGTGACTGCCAATGATGGTCTAGGGAACGCACCGCTCCATAAGGCGACGGAATTTGAAAATGAGAGACTCGTTGAACTATTCCTAAAAAATGGTGCAGATATCAACAAAACAAATAATAATGGACAAAACGCATTACACCTTGCATGTAAACATTCCTCAGCCGAGAACATGTTTCAAACAGTTCAAATGCTGATTCGCTATGGAATAGAGGTAAATGCAACAGATCATTTGAGAAGAAGTCCTCTTCATCATGCATGTCAGAGTGCAAAAAACACTAACATTATTGGTTTACTCGTAGCTCAGAATGCCGTTCATAACCAACACGATTTTAAGGGAATGTGTCCAGTTCATTATTTCTTGGATAATTATTTTTTGTATGATCCGGAAGATATAACATTATTACTTGCTGGAATCGACAAACTTGTGCAGAGGGCAGATTGTGCAAACGTAGCTGATGCGACGGGTAAAACTCCACTTCATTATGCTGCCGAGAAAACTACGGGTAGGATTGTATCTTTTCTCCTTAGCCGAGGAAGCAACGCAAATATTTCTGACGGATTTGGAAGAACTCCATTACACTTTGCAAATTCTGTTGAAACCTGCTTCGTTTTAATTTCCGGCGGATGTAAGCCTGGTGTAAAGGACGTTTGGGGACAGGCTGCCATCCATTTAGCAACAGAGAGAGAAGACATTGAAATTGTTGAAGAAATGATGAATAACGGTTCACATTTTGGTCAAGGTGATGTTAAAGGACGTACAATACTTCACATTGCGGCATCAAATGGTTCAGACGATATTGTTTTGCTGCTTCTTAAAAAAGGAATGAATGCAAATATATGTGATAAGTATTCCAATACACCATTACATCTTGCAATCTGGAATGACAATGGAAATACTGTAGATCTTTTACTGGAAAACAATGGCGACCCTTACTCCAAAGACGAAAACGGAGAAACAGCGTTTGATATATCTTTATACAGATCATCAAAGGATATTATCGATAGCCTGTCAAAGTACACAAAAAACACCAGTGAGAAGAACGCAACCTTATGCCAATATACAAACTATGCCAATTCTCTGATGCTTTTAGATGATTTTGAAAAAATAATTAGATGCAATAACATGATTATAAGAAGCGATACAGACTTGAATAATTTCGTTGACAAATTATTCAAAAATGAAATGCCTCACTCCAGAAACTCTGAATCAGAAGTTACAGAAATACAACTTGCAATTGAGGAAATGGCATTAAATTTTGCAGAAATGGTAAGCAAACATGATTCTCGATTCAAATGTACGCTTCTACATGTTGGAAGTGCATCAGAAGGAACAAAAGTTCGGTACCCTGATGAATTTGATTTTACATTTTGTCTCGATAAGATTAGTGACGTGTCATACCCTGAATATAAAGACCAAGATACCTTGTCTCAAATAGCAGTAAGCTTTCCATATAGTACTGACGATGAACCAGAAGAAAGGATTACGTCGATAGCTGGATATGCAAATATGTATTGTTCAGACAAAATAACTGCTAATCTTACGTCCGAATGGGCTGGTTATCGGTATGGAATATTATCCTGCAGTGAAATGAATTATTTATTTAGCCAGCTACTTACTAAAGTGGTGTTTGCTAATTCGTTTGCAAAAGACGGACGTTTAGTCATCAAGGAAATTACTGTTCACCCTCAAGTTAGGTTGCAGTGGAGGGGTTCCAAATTCAAGGATCTTCAGATCAGCGTTGACATTGTACCAGCAATAAGACTACCTTCATGGCCACCTAAGGTCAAGCAAGAATCCATCCTTTTAACAACAGAAATGTTAAATTTACCATCACTCGTAGTTCCCAAATTGACCAGTGGTGAAAATGAAGATCTTTGGCGTTGTTCGATGGTGCTACATGAGATAGCAATATTTCGAAAAATGTTGCCTAATATCAGAAACAGTTACATCACATCAAAGATTCTTGTCCACTCACACGTTTGTCCACAGGTCCATTTTGGTGGAAACGAGGAAATAAAGAAATACTATGGGCGTATTAAGGGTGTGTCTATGGAGGATCTTGAAGCGGTATGTATGCATGAAAGCATTGAAAGTTTAATTCCGTCATACTTATTAAAAATGGCATTTTTCCAGGCTGTCGCAAGGCGTGCTTTGACAAATGGATTAAACAGTGTCTACTCTCAACAGAAAACCCAATCTAGCAATGATGATCATGCATCAACATACGGACCAGCAGAAACGATGCACCATATAGGTCATTCCTCTGATGTTGACGTACCTTTGGTTTACGAATTGTTCAGCATACTTGAAGAAGGTTTACGTAACAGGTTCATGCCATCCTTTTTAAATCCTAAACAAAACGTGCTGAATGCTAGACTATTATCTGGTGATACGGATAAAGTTCATACATACGTTAGATTTATTCTTAAACTTTTGGATTAAGTTTATAAAAATGTGATAAAAAAGTTTTTATCAGTTTTGCCTTATTCAGAGGATTGGTTTCAATTTAAGTAGCATGCTAAATCACTTTGTCTGCATGTACCTTATTGCTTAAAGCATGCCAACGTTGGTTCTAATTGCACGTTTTGTGTTATTGCCAACATTTTATCATACTATACGACGGCCGTTGTTTGGTTCAAAAGGAATATCGGAGTATTTTGGCAATGTTAATATTTTACAATACATTACCAAATGAGAGAGTAAAATAATCACACAGAATACTACTGTATATCTGAATGATGACAAATACAGTTTTTAGCTGTATATTTCATCTTTGAAGGACAAAAACATTAAGCTTCCTCGCTTAATGTGCGTTTTGAGGAATGATTTGTTAAAAACCCATCAAGTACAAAATAAAGTGACATATTTCATGATATTCGACATAACACATATTTTTCAACCGTCTAGAAAAAAAGAATCATACTTAAAGTTTCATGTGAGACGACATGTGCATGTGATGAAGCGTGACGTTGTAACTTAGACGAACGATAGCTACTACTACACCACTTTTCCTGGGGTGTGTTCATGAATGAAAAATTGAATGAACTGATATGATACAGCATACTTCGAACAAACATTATGTATTTGAGGCGACAATTAATAAACAAGCACAACTTTTAGAGTAAGCAGTACAAATATGAATGATAAAACTGAGTAAATATCAATCTAAATCATGTAAAAAGTGGTTGGTTTTGAAATCTTTTTTTAAACTCCTGATAAAACAGTGGAAATGTGAAAGATTTTTTAAATATCACACTGAACCTTTCGGTCATAAAATGGCTCAGGATTTCGAAATTGCAATGGTCATTTCCCTGTTAAGTATCTGTTTTCACATGCAGAAAACATATTCTATTCTAGCTGTATAACGGTTTATGATAACCTCTTGTATTCTCTATAGCTAGAAAGTGTTTTCCTTATTGTATTGCTTATTAGTATCATAGTTCAATTTGCTATCAAAACTGATTCATTATTTGGTTTTTTTTTTTTTTGTTTATTTTATTGAATAACCAAAACTTCGTTGAAGTTTTTTATAATGAAAATGCAAACATTACTTGGTGCAAACTATACAACAGTAAAGAGATGGTATTTGGCTGGCATCGGCAAAGTTAACGTTGCGAAAGCAAGACTTAGGTGTGATGTTTTGGGTGATATTTGCGACTGCTCAGGCCGGGATAACAAATGCTAAAATTTGTCTTTATGTCAGTTTAACACGAAATGTTGAGTGTTTTTTTTCAAATGGTTGATCAATGATAATTGGTAGACAGTTGTATCCTTTCTATGAAGATTATTTGTTCCGCCCCTTTCGTCATTGCCAATTGACTTTTAAACTTTTCTATAGTTTTCATGTTTAAGTTTGGGACTATACACTTTATGAGGAACCGGAGATTATTTTGGCTCTTCTCCAAGTAATTGTCTACTACCTTTGAAACTTTTTAAAAGTTTTTATGTTAATGTCGTATCTATCGAAATTTCGAACAGGCGATACATATATTACTGTGTCAACAGTTTATTTAAAGAATTTACAATGTATAAAATAAAATAAAGAGTATGATTATTTAGTTGATTTAATCAGAAACAATTCTGCAGGATAGAATAACGCTGCAAAATCTATTTCAAATCCTTCATAATTCACTTCGCTTCGCTTACAATTTAACGATCTAAAAACGCTTCATTCTACTTTCTATTTAAACGACTTTTCAGGATCCCCAGGTGGTGTCGTAACGATACACACCTTTAAAAATTTGGAGACAGTCATTTCATTGGTTGATATAAAAATTATCAGAACAGAGCGTAGGAAGGAATATTGTCAGACCCTTGTCATAAGCGAAGTGTGGACACAGGATATGCATTTTAATCAGGTTGTTCAAAAATTAATACATTGAGAAGTAGTTAACGACAAAGAGACATTTACCAAACATGCCAAACAACACACGTTAACATGAATATGTTTCTAAAAGTCATCATACGGTCTTCAAAAAAATAACAATCGTCCACAGAGTATGACAATGTATAGACTCAATTAGCAACAAAAAAATCAACAAAAACAAACGAGCTCGTTTTAAAACACATTTCTATATCAAAATACATGTTTAGTTTCAATGTTTGGCAGCAGTTGTATCCCCGTCTGCGTCTTTGAAGTATGGTTCTCTTTGTGCTGATATATATTTCATATAAAAGCACTTTAAAAAAATAGTTTGAAGGCCATCATGGTTGTTTATTTCATTATAATTGTGTCTTCGGTTGTTTTGTTTTCTCCTGATGTGAACATGCTTTTACTTTTATATATTTTTTTACAATTTATTTTGGTTGAAACATATAGCAAATATCCAGATAAAAAGTACTTGTGTTTATGACATAAAAAAATTAGAAAGCTTCACCTTAAAATAAAACCAAATGAAAAGAATAATCTGAGACGAATCTTCCTGTGTTGGTTCCCAGTTGAATGAAATCCAACCAGAAATTACCCAGATTTTTTTTTTATTTTAAACGTAGTTTTATATAAAATATTTAGCAAATAATCGTAGATGACGAATACGTGTTGCATAGTACTCAGTGTTCCAGCACATTCTTATTTTACGGTGCCGAAGTTAACGGAGCTCGTAAATTATCAAATGTGCATTGTAGTAAGATCTTTGAATATTAAAATAAGAAGATGTGGTTTGACTGCCAATGAGAAAACTCTCCACCAGAGATCAAATGACAACTAACAGTCTGGTTTATAAACAAAACAATGAACGAAAAACAAATATGATATACATCAACAAACGACAACCACTCAATTGCAGTTTCCTGACTTAGCCACGTCAGATTAGCTCTGAGAATACACAACCACGTTTCATTTTAGATATCGACTTTAATATGCATAATAGGAAATAGCATGACATTATACAAGCGAGAGGTTTAGAGCCGTAAATGCTGGTTAAGCCCATCATTTTAATACAGAAATGTCTTTGCCAAGTCCGGGATTTAACAGTCAATCGTATTTCGTCTTTACACGCCTTGTGAACATGATATGGCCACCAAAAATAAGAACAACAAGTCTTAGATGATAAATTTCGGAAAATTTACAGTGCAAAATTAAGCTCAAACCGTATTTCGCATGCACATGCCTTATGAACATGACTTAATACGGATATCACTTTGTATAATAGTACACCGTTCTTTAAAATACTAAACTTGACAATGACACAATATAAATCCAATCAATTCAATCTTTTGACATGAAAACTTTTAATTTGACTGATCTCGGTGAAATCAACTTCAGATCAGAAACAAATGTTCTTAAATAAAATTTCATCCTATTCTACTGCGCATTATCTTTTAATTTCTTAGCAAACGCCCGTTAAATGCATTCTGACTAAAATTGATAGCATTTTAGTGTTTACTAGATAAGAGATCGTCTTATTAAACCTTTGCCATTCTTTGAAGTGAATTGTAATTCTGATTGGATGAGATAATGTCATGTACCGTATAGATTTGTCATTATACTACGAAGTTATTTTACAACTAAGGAAACCAGGTGCATGATAAGGCTCTTCTTAGTGTCATATTTAGGACAAATGTCACTTGACCATAAAACAACAGCTGGCATAGCATGCTAATAGTTCCTCATTTACAGAAGAATACAGAATGGAAACGGGGACTGTGTTAAAGAGACAACAACCCGACCAAAGAGCAGAAAACAGCCCAAGGTCACCAATCGGTCTTCAACGCAGCGAAAAAATCCCGCACCCGGAGGAACATTGCCAAACAACTACTTCAAAAATATGTCTAACATATGAAAATCATTTTTTTATTTGTGAGAGATCAATACTAACAATAGCATATAATGTTTCTGTAATGGTTTCTAGAAAAGGTACCAGTGCTAAACTGATTATAAATTGATAAATATATTCTTAAGATTCATAATAACAACAATTCTAACGCAGTTGTTTGCAAGTAGTTTATAAGAATGACACATTAAGACATAATTATATATAAATATAAGGTATGTAGACACTGGTATAAATATATAACTGGTTTTTTTTTCTCATTTTCTTGAAAGAGATAAAGTCTCAATAGATAGTTTTCTGTTGATGTCATTTGACTTAGAGTTATTTTCCTTGTCCGCCATGTAGGAGGACAAACTTGATGATTTTCTTTTTGAGCAACCAAGTTTCAGCATGTGGTACAAGCAAGTCTGATAAAAGAGCCTTACAAAAGTGTAGTAATAAATCAAACAAGGCGTAAACAAGAGTGTTTCGTTCAGAAAACAACGTTTCTAAAGTATAGCTGTCAGAACAAGAGTTTGAATGTTGATTTATGAAGAGGTGAACACAATTATGCTGAACTTACATAATTTTGCGTAACTTGTTTGAGGTCCATACAGAATCATATAGTTGTTGAGATCACCGTCCATTGGTCTCTGGTGGATAATGTTTTCATTGCAATTTTCATTTTCATTTCAATTGCCGGAAAAAAACATAATAAAATGTGTTAATTTATTTTGCTCGCTTTAATCAAAACTAGAGAAAGGTTCGGCGACTCTGCTTGCTTTCCGTTTCTTCCATAGGCAAGCTCGTTCGAATAAATCTGATACATTCCAATAACGTACGTTTATTGTTTATGTTCATTTATGATGTATTTTCCAGTGAGACAGTTACCAATCGATCGATTGAAACTAATCAAAACAGTTCAAATTATTGTTTTTTGTTTGTTTCAAATGAAATTACTCATGGTAACACTACATTAAATTCATCGATTAAGATTTGTTTTGTCATAAACAAATGAAGAATGATGTGGCTAAGACTAGAATAATTCATAACTATTGGGATAAAATATACGGAGTGTCAATAAAAATACAATCCCTTCATGTATTTCCCATTTAACAAAAACAAAATTAAACCAACAGATATTCTTTGGAAGTTGACCAACCATTCAAAGGCTTGAATACTTCTTAGGATATGC